TATATATATATATATATATATATATATATATATATATATATTAGTTGGTAAAAATAGTACGGTATGAAGTGCATCCAATTACCATGAAGAATATTACATTCATCAGTATTGCTTGAATATTCTTTCTTTAAAAAATGATATGAGCAAAAGTTGGAATTCGTTTCTTCATTATTTCTGCTTTTTTATGCTGAGAATTATTGGTTATGATATTAACGATTAATTCAAGTGACTAGGTGCTTTGCGTTTCCTTTATTTTTTCCCACTTCAGCGAATTTCCCACTTCAGTTTCTTTGCTCGATAATGTTCGAAATATTTAATCATTAGTAGCTAAACGGTATGTTGTGGTGCAGATGTTTGAATTAAATGACGTGTACTACGCCTGTAGACACTGTGGAGCAATTTGTTTCTGTATGTGTATGTATGTATGTATGTGTGCATGTGTGTGTGTGTGTGTGTGTATGTGTCTGTGTGTGTGTGTGTGTGTAGAAGCTGATGTATTTGAAAGTTTGAAAGTAATCACGACGCCACTTAGACTAGTGCAGTGATTGGAGATGTTTCCATTTTGCTGCTATAGAAGTTGGTATATCTTGAGAATTTTAAAGCAGTGCAAGTCAGAGTTAATACTATGGCAATGGTGACAATTTCGACTAGTGAAATCACTGCTTTTACATCTAGGTGATGATAGTATTATTTGTGATCAGCAGTTTTCGTTTTCGGATAGTGTTTCAATGGAGATAGTACGTAAATGATGTAGTAATTCTATCTAGACTTATTGTTTTTCTTTATTAAGGCGATAAGAGAGTGTTATACGGCAGTATTTCTATTAAAACTTTTCGGAATCGAGGTTTGATGGGAATAGTGAGTAGGTATAGTCTGGGTGAAATTATGACTTTCTAATAGCTGTTACAAATAGCTTTCACTTACCTTTCACTGTTTGTATCACGGCTGGTCTTGACCGTAGTAGTGCAACAATATTGCAGTGATGTAAGTGATAGAATCTTTTCATTCGTTTTTCCAGCAAATATGTTAAAATTCTGTTTAGTTAAGATTTTCTGGTTGATAAGTTACTGATCCTTTCACGTATCGTTCATTGAAATGTTCGCTTATGCAGTGCTTTCTGTTGCAGTGCATTATATCTTAATATTTGAATGTTGCAACTTTTTGTAAATTATTTATGAATTTAGCACCTTTTCTTCCCTTATTGTAAAACTTATGTTTGAAATATTTCTTGAAAGGACAAAAGAATGTTAAAAGGAATTAAGGAAATGAACTAGTTTTGAAGTTTTCTTGCTTTGGAACTGAAAATTTTTGTAGAAATTTGTGTATTGATTATGGAGGGGAAATTTTTTTTTTTTTTGATGGATTTCTTCTACTGAAAGACACAAAAGATGGATTCTAAAAGCAATACAAGCCACATTCTCGACAGTCTTGACTCAGGGTTGTTTTGCAAGTATACATTGGAGTAGTGCAAATACTGCAAAGTATTTGTTGTTTCCTGTTATTGCTGTTGTGCTCGTCACTGCGTGGTATACCGTTGTACAAAACCGGTTACTATGAAAGATAGGGTGAATTATATAGAATTATTAATTTTAGAATCACTTGATGAATAGAATGGATATCACCACTTTGTACTGCTAACGAAATATTTTTCAATCTTGTTGTTTATCACATAAAAAACTTGAAGTATTTAATCCTGATATTTTTTTAAAGATATGTCTTATGCGAAGTTTAGATTAATATGAATGTCAGAGTTGGCTCTGATGTATTAAACTAAAAAGGATGGATAATTTTTACAATTCTCAAATTCAAGTTGGTAAAGCTTTTCATATATTATAAGAATGATGAGCAATTTAAATAGCAAATTTAAATATTAAGAGCAGGGCAAATTGTTTCCTATCTCTTTATCGTTGTCGTTAAAGTTATTGATAGTAGCATACGGTATAGGATTATAAAGTACTAAAGGTTCTTATATATTTTGTTCACATGGCTTGCTAATGATTATCATTCGCAATAAATGTCGAGTCATTTGATTAGTGAAAAATGAGTAAACACTGGTTATTAATCTGTTGGATAATATTTAGAAGATCAACTGACAAAAAGATGTGACATTATTATGGCATTTAATATCTGTGAAGTTCTTACCACATTCTGGTAGACAGTTTCTGTTTAGCGGAAGTAGCAGTCAAAATAATTTGATGTGATTGGAATCATATAACGTAGTTGAAATCCATAGCAAATTATACACCATACAGATATAACTATTAAAAAAAAATATTGAAACTTTAACATAAGATATTTCTCGACTTTTTATGCATTCAAAAAAACTTTAACATAAGATAGAAGCAGAGAATAACAGTTGAAAACATTAGTTTTCATTGGCAAGAATATCAGGGCATAATTCTTTTTATAACTGCAGTTGGTCAACAGACACTGAAGTTATTATATTCTGCTCTGTATGAATGGTTCCATTCCAAAACCTTTTGAAGAGTAGAAAATATCGCAGCTACTATTTTGGTCTCTTTAACCTTGGCTGACTCTGTTGTTCACTCTTTGGATTACTTCATATTTGCAATCAAACTGGAAGCCTTGGCATCTAGAGTCAAATTAAGAAGCAGTTTCTCGCTAATTTTGAATTTTAATCGAAATTTGAGATATATCTTTAATTTGCTTACGTTATAATCTTACGGATTTTTATATTAATATTTACTATTCATAACTAATTATCACCTACAAATGCTCATCTTTTCATTCCAAGCTAATTATGTTCAACGTTGATTTGCTACTTTCTCTACTTATGAAACCATTTGTTTTTCATTACTATTATTCGATCATAATTGATGTTTTCTGGTTCTTGCAATTCACATATTTGCACATATTAGGTAGATTATTTAGATGTGGGTTTTAAAAATATTAGTACTGTAATAAATTTTGATGCATCAAATGAATAGGACAGTATAACAACTCCTCTGTCCATAAGAACTAAGTATAGTCATGAAGAGTTGAAAGATTGCTTCACAAATGGGAGGATCTTGATGTTATGTTCATCAATGTTTCATCTCGATATGAGTTTTAGAGATAATGCGAACGCAATGATCTTTTTATTGATTTACAAGATTTAAGAATACCTCGAAAAGATGTAGTATCTTCATTCTTTCAATCTCATACCTTGTTTACCATACCTCATACCACATCTCATACCTTGTTTTATTCCTTGGAATTTATTATAAATATGCTGGGAGCATGAAGGTGAAAACTCAAGTAGAATGATAGAGAAAGACCACTGGTAGCTTTTGAGGAGCTACAGGTTTTTGTGTGGAAGACTCAAGGACCAAGTGCAGGGATATAGATTTTTATTTTTATTTTAGTATTCAAATCATTAATTCTCTTTCAAATACATTTAGCAACAAAATTTTACCAGTTAAACTAATAAATTATAATCATTCTGCATCATTTTACTATTTTCGTTCCTGGTTTTTTTCTTTATTTTTGAAAAGATTTTAGTTGTCGATTAGTAATTCTTTATTCCTTTGAAACTCTATTTCCAATTTCCTTATTGCCATGATTGTAATGAATTATTTCGAAATTTAATTTAGCAACCGAAAATGTGTAAACGTGCATGTTTTAAAGTTTCTAACCAACAAATGAATTGCTGTAATTTCAAAATGTGTTGTGAGCGATAAAAAGTTTGTTATGATCTTCGATGTTTCGTGAAGTTTCTGGGGCGGAACTTTTTGTATTGCGAAAATTTAGATTTGTTTTCGTTTCTTTTTTCCGCAAATTCAAATTCCTATTTATATTGGAATTGCTAGGTTGAATCCTCTTTTCACGGTTAATTTTTCAAAAAAATTTTTTTGAGGTAGGAAGAGGGGAAATAACGTTTTTATGTTGTTTATAAAGGGAAAAGGAATGCTGAAAGTTTGTGGGAAGATGGTAGGTTATTGT